TACCCTACTTCTTAGTAACCGCCAAAAGAGGTAGAGCTACTTCAAATGATCTACTTATTTTTTAAAAATACAAAATTCGTTAAATATTTAATTTACTTTATTTTGAAAATGATTTTAATAAAATTCATGATGATAAAATAACATCGCTGATGACAGCAATTGGGCAGGTGTATTTTTATTGAAATAAATGTTATCCATTCATCAACCTGAGCAGGAATGATTTATTTAAATATGTTAATGTTTTATTTATTTAACATTATTTTATACTTTGTGGCAAATCTGATTCACTTCAAACATGTGATTTCAAGAAATTAAAATTAATTAGGTGCAAATAGTCTTTTGGACACAAATAATTATTTTCGTATATTAAATAGGTAAATACTGAAACAAACCCCTAAGGTGTCTTCTAGAGAAGCAGCCTTATTGGGGGTGGGATTTGTTTTTCAATTTTTCATATTGTTTTACTTCAATTCTGCTTAGATGTCTACATATTAAAATAAAGACTATGGGATATTTTCGTTTTAATTATTAATTATCTTTTTAAGCATTTCTGTACTCCAAATCTTTTCATAAGTTACTTTTCATGAATAATAAACTTTATTTACTTTTAAAATATAAACGAGACTAATGTTCCGTAATAAAACTTCGGAATATCAATTGATATCTATATTTAAGTTGTGTATTTACTTTTAAATATGTTCAAGAACTCGTTAACGTAAACACAAAAGAGGTATTTTCCCTTCTCAAACTTATCAGCAATTTCATATCTACCACAACATTCTCTAAGATGTAATCTGCTATGCAAATTCAAACATTTATACAAATGGTTGGATCCATAAAATGTCTCCATTTATTCATATCAAGCTTGTCTGCATAGAAATATGGATACCTAAATTTAAATTGAAAGACAGATGAACCATTGAATGTATACAATTGGCGAATTATTCTAATTGTTGAATTGATTTGTGGTCAAAATAATCTATAATACAATGGTTTTAACTCTTGAGAAGCTAGAGTAAGCACATTTTCCTTTCAAACCTTTATCAGTCTACCATATGAGTAAGTATGCAGTCTTAATAATTTTCCATAGCGCTTGCAACTTTCTAATAAATAGTTTTCTTTTTGTCATACTAATATCTGATAGTCATAATAAAAAACATTTGAAAGTATAATCTTTACTCTACTGTAAAATAAACTTTTACTTCGATTTGGGCGTTACATTTTTTGGGTAAATTACTAAGTGATATCATTGAAACTTTTGCTTTGCTAGGTATGAACATTGATGGATATTGAATACATAATTCATCAATGCTGCAAGTGATAATAGCAAAACTTTCTCGAAGACAAACATCGTAAGAGATGTTAGCAAAGTTCCATAACAAGCCTGAAGGCTGGCCATTAAATGAAAAAGTTCAGGAGTATGTGTAACCATTCCATTGACCATAATGATATCAATGTTTTCACAAGATTTACTTCCCATCCAAATAGAGAGATTTTTCCTATCCCATGTACATTGCATCCATTTTCTCAATCAAACGAAACTTAGATCTTTTACAAGACAAAATAAAAGCGGAAAGATTAAAGGGTTTTCTTTGGCAGAGATTGGTTTGTAGATGGAGAACTTGCTCCAGCTTAAATTCTAACCCAATGACCATAACGATATTAAATATGACTTTTTATATGATTCACTCCTTGCTAGATAGATAACATGTCTCATACATATTAGTAATGTCACTTAAATTGTGCACATTGCATCCATTTTTTTATTGCTCACAGGAAATTCATACAAGACAAAATAAAAACCAGAATATTTACGGGCTTCCTTTTGGAAAGACTCATTTAAAGATAGAAATATTCCCTTTAGATTAAATTCCTACTCAAGATTAACTTCCTGCCATGATATGAAGGATGCCACTCAAAGGATGTCCATTGAAATCGATTTCATCATTCACAGGAAATTCATATTTTTATGGGACAATATAGAAAAAGGACTTAGAGACGGGAAAATGATATTACTTTACAGAGAATGGTTTACAGTTGAAAAAGAGCTCAGTAGGTTAAAAGTCACTTCAAATTAAATTCAGTTGCTAGTCCCATTGCAATTTAAAATTTGTCCATGACAACCACCAAGCTGTTAAATGACTCTGCAGAGTAAGGTTCAGAGTTACATAAATTTTCATTAAATATATTTTTGAACTTGTAAGTCAACTTTCATTTAGGTTTTTAAAAGAAAGGTACAATCAAAATGAGGCACTTTTTTGCTTAATCTTTCTGCTTACTTTTTTTTAAGATCCCAAACCTTTCTTTACAGGCCACGCAATTACGCAAATCTAAATCATTTACAGAAAATTTTCCGCTGAGTACGGGTAGACGCCACATCATGTTCGTCACAAATTGAAATTACAAATTAAAAATTTGCATATGAATTTTGATTACTACTAGCATATAAAGTGGCACTTAATCTTGTACATGAAACATTTCTCCACAATTTGTGTGTTTGATGAGATGAAGTGATTGCACATTTTGTTGACATCATCATTGAGTCTTGACTGGGTTCAACAACATCAGAAATTCTTGCGAACCCACGCGTAAATAATAAATTGCTAACATTCATAAAACAGTAGATACATAATACAGATGTTGTCTGTCGACATCCAGGATTGCATCCTTAAAATAACGAACAAAGCCCTGTCATATGTTGTGCTTAGTTTAATCCAGTGCCAAATAAATTAATTAATACATGAAAAAACAGAATCTGTTTTAAGGGGACCAACCATAAATCACCTAATTCAATTTTTATGCCAACTCTCGTAGTCGTTTAATAACTCAGAATTAATTGATCATTTTTCTTGTCCTATACTCACTTGAACAAAGACCCCAGGGAGTACTACAAATAATTTCTTTTTTGCACTTGGACTGAAAGTTAATTGCTTTATAGCTTCCACTTCACTTGCCTGCGTTTGAAATATCAAGATAATTTGTTTCGCTGTTAAATACGCCACATCAATGAAAAATATTTCCATCGACAAAATGTGGAAGCGATATTTCTAAAACTTTGTCCATTTACAGGTTGCTGTAGGTTGTATACATAATTTAATGAATGAAACTCCATGACTATCAATGGTAAGAAACGTGGGAGGGAGATGCAAATATGTAAGATAAAAAAGTTTTCCTTATTATTTTCCTTCCTCTTAATCCACTTAGCTAGTGTTTCCCATTAAAAAATATTAATCTTGCCATTTTGATTGATTACGTGCATTATGGGAAATTACTTCTCTTTATATTTTTCCTGTGATAACAGCGCTGAGGCAATGAAAGTTTCCCAGCTATTCATAAATGAAAGTATCTACATTTTTCAGCATGTCATTCGTGTAGAAAGAAGATTTGTGCACAATGGAAGCAATTTCTTGATCAGTTATCAGATTCTAGTCAACTGAATATAAAAACAGCGACACAAGTAACAGCCAGTAAGACTTAAAAAAACATGAAAACATACAGAAAAGAGCTTTCATAGTACACTCAAGAGAGCGCAATATTTTTCTCCATTATTTATCTTCTACAAAAGGAATCTACTGAATTTTTATTATTAATGGGATCAATCAAGTAATCAAGCGTTATTTATTAATTTTCCTAGGTAGCTTTTCAATAGTTATCAATCTAGCTTTTAGATTAATTACAATTGATTCAAAATAATTAATATTTAATAAAAAAACCGCTCGTTTGTGGTGAAAATGCATTGCAATTGACAATGCTTGCTAGACTTCTGGTTTCATAAAACAATTAACAATTCTCCAGCAATTTCCATCCCATCGATTATTTACATTCGGTACTAAAAAGGTCAAAGAAAGTTTTAATGAATAATAAATTTTGTCACCAGTAGAATCGCAATCATTTTAAATTGTGCGAAATTTATTTTTTACGACCATTTTAACCGCTATCATTAAAGTCAGTTCCATAGTTCATGATCGTAACGATTAATATAATAAAGATAAGAAATAAGAGAAAAAAGCTATTTACTTGGTCAAAGATTAATTTAAATAAACTTTTTGTTCAATGCCATACCGGAATGAATAGAAAAAAAGTTGATTGTCTGTGAAAACTTTTCTTTCTTTTGTTTTCTTCTCGACTTTTCCTTCGTGAATGGTGTCAAGAGGATTGTAATTAAATTTTGCACATTTTTGACTTTTAATTACTGAAAAGTGCCGAGAGTTGATTCTATCAGATCAATTTTGTGACTTATTGTTCGCAAATTGACGTAGCTACAGAAGTACCATAAACTGGAATGTGAGTACCTTAAATCTTGACATAAAATAAATAATTTAGTTTTAATTATAAGCTTTAACTGAGGGAAAAAGTTCCCAGGTGGTTGGTAGAAAGACAAGCAATAGCTTACATTAAAAATAAAATTACAATTTCTGTGTTTTGTCGTTCTTTCTTTATTCCGTTGTTAAAACCCTCGCTAAAGGGAAAAATCAAAAACAAGATATAATTGAGACAAGATTCCAGCTTTAAGGAAGATTCTTTTAGGGCAGTTGAGCAAGGAAAATGACAATGAGAGTTTAGTAAACATGTCGAAGTGTTACCGTCAGTTGGCTTGGAAATTTATGCAAAAATATTCTCTTTTTCATGCCACTAGCACCTTTTTTGTCCTCGAAATTCAAGAATTAATTTTTTCCTTTTTTCTCAGTGTTCGAGTAATACATTTTTGCTTTAAGAATTGTCGAATCACGCAGTTTGAGAGGAAATGTTTTACTGTGAATAATGTCGAACACATAAAAAAGTTGATGATGTGTCTAAGGAAATTTTGAACTTTTCTTGCTTCTTCTTAAGAACAGAAAATGTACGATTGTAGGCCGTAAAAATTATAAGTTCCGGACATGCCTTTAGGTGGTCAGTTTTCTTTTAAAAATTTCATTTGTTGAAACCTTAGGAATATATTTCCTTTGACCATCGGTTCAAGAAATCCATTTCAAAAAATGTCAGATCACTTATTACCACCTCACACGGTCCTTCCAATGTTAAAAAGAAATAAAAGGCAAAACAATTTTATTTTTGTCGACCCAAAATTATACTTACAAAGGGAAAATAAACCTTTTTCTAGCACCTACATCTAAATCGTAGAAGGGAATGTTTTTCCGCATGTTTCACTGAATTCATGAGAGAATCATGATGAAATCATTACAAATGAAAAAACAAGTCCAATGTCTTCTTATGAAACTGTTGTATCATTTAGTATAAAATTTACAAAAGTATGGACAGTCAAAATATCCAATGTCGTTTCTAAGGAAACTTTTTTGCTTCATGTTGTCATTTCACAGTTGAGCGAACAGAAAATGAAAAATGACGAAGGGGTTATTAAAGTGACAACGATAACGCGAAACAAATTGATAAATATCTTAACAAATGAAGCATTAAACCATTATCTAAGTATTTATGTGCATGTTTTAATCGGAAGCAGAAAAAAAAATCTTTTTTATTTTGTCAAGGACATGTGAAATACATTACATTTATACTCAGCCTGAAGAACTTTTTTTTCACACTTTAACTCTCCTAAATGTTTTGGTAGATTCATCGCCATGATTAGATGGTTTTAATGATGGCCATATAAGTATGTGTGGTTAAGTTTATATGTTTGCTTCCTCTACTCGACGTCATGAATCATGAATCATTCATTTTGAATAAAATTCGAGTTATTTTAAGTAAATGAAAGTGAGTTCAACAAGCATCGTTTTTCATCGAAGTGACAAGAGAAAAAGCGCAAGCTTTAATTTGATATAATGGAATTAAGTATGAGGGAGAATAAAACTCTTCAACGTTGATTTAACGGGAATGTCACACTCAACATAGTTTATGAGATAATATGATTCATGGAGAGCTGTTCATAAACGTCACGTCCGATCTGCAGACGACATGAAAGATGTTGTAACAACAAAAAAGAGCAATAAAATTACCCAGAAATTTTAGAACATTCCGAGAAGATTAAAAAGCTTTTCAATAAAGTTTCCGCATAGTTAATGCGTGGGCTTTGCGGATGTTGTTAGGCCAGTATACGATTTAATATCCTTACCAGTGAGTTTACTGTTTTTCGTTTATGTCATCAAAAGCTTTAATTTTTTCAGCGAAGTGCTGAGGAAAGAACTTTAAAAGTCATTTATAATGTTCCTAAAACATACTTTAAACGTTCTTTTAAATCTTTTCTCATCAATAATTATGTATGAAAAGAGTGGAATTTTACGTGAAAGAATTCCTACTGTAACACAATAAAGTTTTTGTAAATGAATTCCTCTTGTCACACAGGGCATTCTTTCACGACATCCCCTACGCTACCCTAAAGTGTCGCAAGAATTTTAACGCTCATACAGGTTTTTATTTTAATTTATTACACACCGCAGTAAAATGTCGTCATCTGCTCATCTCGTAAGACATTTATTGTCCTATGTCTCAGATCTGCACATCCTACATATATATTTAGAAATTTATTTTATATTTGATAGCCAAGACTATAAAAAGGGAATGTGCATGTACCATACTTACACACGAGACCAAGATATCAAAAATCAATCAATCTTCATTAGTCAAGAGAATAATACCGATATTCACAATAACAAACTGTGAAGCATAAAGACGGAGAGATCTTTTATTCAAGGATTTTCATGGATTTGTGACGCACCATTGTTCAAGGTGTTTTTGAATTTTTCATTATTTCCGCTGTCATTGTGTTCATTTGAAATAATTAAAATCTATCAATGAGGCTTGTGGCGTCGTAACAGCTAGTCTTTATAGTCTAGGAAATTATTATTATGATTATTATATCTACATGAAAACTATTATAGTTCTTTTCAACTTTATTTAGTTAGTGACACGAGTTAAAGTTTCCCCGGTGTGAAGAAGGAAGGAGAGCTAGAGAAAGAAAAGGAAAAAAAAAACTTTAACATGAGTTAGACATAAATTTTCCGACCGCTTCGAAGCGTAAACGTCACTATGGTACTTCTAAAGAGACATAAAAAATTCTTATGGATTCCTTTGAGCTTTTATCTTTCACTAGAGTGTGAAATAAAAATGTTTCTAATTCCTGATTTTTACGTACATATGTACGTAGATGCTTACATACATAGATTTCTTCCTACCTGTTTCCTTTGCTGACACCACAATCGTTCTTAATGAAGATTCTCACACAAACACACACACATGATTAATTCTTTTGATGTTCAAGTCATAAATCAGAGTAAGCTAAAAAATTGCTACTGGGAGCTCATTTAAATAGCACAACAACACAATAATGGAAAAAAACTCGTTGCTTGATCAGAAGCAGCAGAGAAAATGAAAACAAGAAAGATAGAAAAGAAAATTAAATTCCAAGCTGCTTCGTTAGCAAAGCGATGTAGACGATGCAATTACAGGCAACAGTGGTTTATGCTTCCCTTTACATTTTTTTCGCCGTCCGGAATTCATTTAACGTAATAGCTTTAGGTACATGTAAAGTGAATTGCTGCGAGCTTCATCTCAAAACAGGCTTCATTGAAGCTAAACACTCTTGGTTTCCCTGTTTCTAAGTTACTCTTAAATTTACAGTGAATTATTAATGAGTCATTACCCTTGTGCTACATACTTTTGGCTTTTCCTAATCAGCTTAAACTTTGGGATGCTTGTCGATTGATTTGTTTATTTTCTAATCAAGCGACAAATAAAACGCCTCCTTTAAACATCTAAAGTTTTATTCATAAGGGGTAGCATCAACATTGAGCCACATAATCCTTAACTGTTTCCTCTACAAATAAATAGTGTGACTGACCTTCAATATTGCCTTTCGAGCTTAAAATGATGAAACCTTTTTGCGTCTTCTTGTTGGTATTTCGATGTTTATCTGCTAACTTGACTAATTTTAAACGTAGGCGTAGGTTATCAACAATAAGCAACAACAAATAAAAAAGAGAATCCCTTAAGCTGTTGTCCCATTTTCAATTGATGGCTTGATGGTCCTTAAATTATCGTCGTTGTCGACGACGCTTTTTTATGCATTTGATCCTTCAGAATTATATGGATAGGCAAATGAATGCTAAAGAACTTAAATGTAAGTACTCTTCACGTTTCCATCCCACCCACTCGTCAGAGAAATGAATTTTATTTTGTGTGTGGAAATCACGACATCAGCATTCGACATTCAGCTATGAAATCATGAAAACCATGAATACAGTTTTTCTTTCACTCCTTGATTTTCTTTTTTCTTTCTTTCCTTCTTTCTTTTATTACTTATCTAGAGGATTAATTCTATAGAACATGATAGATTTATGAGCTGCCCTCCACATAAACAGCGCGACATAACAAAGGCATAACTGATGCTTATTCAGAGATTTAAGTCACATTGGAACATTTATGTGTGGGAATATCTTCACGGATATATCATTTTGATGAAATCCAAATCCCTGAAAATACTTAAGAATCGATTTTATTACCGAATAACGAGAAAATCTTGAAAGTTTTCTACTTCTTCCATACACTCGACAAAAGATGTAGATAATTGTAATGCGTGTAATTTATTGGCCACTCGAATGAACGTTTTGATGGGAAAATCAAATGCGAGGATTAATTAAAACTCGCTCAGTACGAGAGCGAATAGAAAGTAGGAAATATTAAGTTCGAAACAAGATGTTCACGGTTCAGCCGAGCAGGTAATAACGATGTTTATTGAACTATAGACTCGTGTATTTGTTATTGTCTCGTCTCGTTGAATGACTGTTAAGTTTCAGTTTAATGGGAAAACCGAACATTATTTTTATCGGTAGGTATTTGTTGAATGATTTTTCATCGGATGTTATCGAAGGAAGCAGTTGCTTGACATCATGTGTGACATTAATTGATTGTTTATTTTATACAAACAATTCTTTATTTGGAATAAAGCATTAATTGATTTATTTTTAAGCTAACAAGAAAGAGCAATCAATTTTTGCCGTTCGAGGAATATGAATTGTAGCTTTATTTTTATAAATAAGTATTTATGCTTTCCGATGAATTGATTTAATTGGTTAGCGATATATTCATGTATAATGAAAACTAAGCCTTATGTCAAATGATAAATGATGTGTGTTATTTTTCCAATCCGAATTTATCAGTTGACCCAAACCTGAGAATCAACTTCATGCATAAAAAGTCCAAAATAATCGCCTGAGACTTTTTACAGCTACCATTCGTTACGATGGGCGGCTGAATAATTTCATTTCACCTCTTGAGTCATGACATTAATATCTCATACTCTTCAACAAGCTTTTACCGAACAAGAAATGAAACTCAGGCTTGATCCTTATCAAAAGTCAAAAGAGCATTACCCATTTTTTGTACCACTCTGCGCTTATCGTATTTTTATAAAACTGTATCATGGACTTATAGACAACCAAAACTTCAAGCACATAGCGGAAAATACATAAATTGAGATCTAAAAAGATTGGATTTGAAATGTATACATATATATGTCTGATAAATACATTGTTGTTTCCTTGTATGTCTGTAAGTTGGATTGAAATCTCACGGAGAGTTGTCCCAAAAAAATCACTCTGAAAGCGAAGGAAAGCAGCTTGCTGCAGTCATCCTTGATAATATTTAGTTTTGTTTTTATTTCGTTAAACTAACAAGTATGAGATGTATGAGAATATACATGAACATATCTATGTAGCTTTCAACATTCATGTAGGTTCTTCAACGCGAATGATTTTTATTTCCGTAAAATAAAGAGTATCATCATTTCGAAAATAATAGAAAGCATGACAAGATGTTAGCACAAAATCTAAGAAGAAAAGTGAAAGGCAATAAAAATGATTACCATTTATGCGAAGAACATGTCTTAGACTCAGATTGAAATAAAAAAGAAAAACGAAACGAAAAACAAAAATACATAGCATTTAGGCATTTTTGTTTTATTGCGTTTCGAACCTTTACAAGTTAATGACTTCATCTTAACGAGCTTATTTTTCATAGATTACGTCCATGAGTTGCTACTTTTATAAGAAAATGTTGAGTAAACATTAATAGCTTGTTGTTTTTAGTTATGTTATCTAATTAGTTAACTTGGTTGATGTGGATGTTCATTGTACAAATATAAAGAAAGAAATTCTATTCTTAACTAACATTTTAGGTGAATGAAGCCAACAAGTAACGGAATGAAAACACTCCCAAAACGAATTTAATTTCCTTTAAACGCGGAAGGAATGAAATCAAAATGCGACTGTTGAATGAAAGAGCATCCGTATCCATAAAACAAGAACGTAGACTCTTTCCTCCATATTCAAGCAAGATTTGATGTCATGGATGATGTTCATCATTCATGTTACATTTAAGGATTGAATACCGGAAAAAAGTTTCACATTCAAACTCTCAAAAAGCCTTTTACAATGTCTGACGAGCTTTTCATTTCACTCCATTTGAAAAGTTGAGAGCAAAAATGTTTCCAATGTTATTTAACACAGCTAGAACAATTTTAACTCGCATCCACTCGACATAAATGTCAAACATACACGAAAACTTTCCAATTTATGTAAATTCTTCAAATTGTCCATCAATTAGGATGTTTATCTTTTTTTGAACCTTAGAGCGGACTACGAGAAAGAAACACTCAAATAGGACGACGGAATGCTTGCATCCGTTTCTTGTTGACCTTTTTTGTCATGGTCAAAGTTCAATGAATACGAATCGAAAAATATTTCGGCATTTGTGTTCGAGTGAGAGTCCCTTTATAGTCAATCTGTTGTCTTCTGGGGATGTGAGGAAACGTTCTATTATGTAAAGATTGAAAGCAAATGTTCGAAAAAGGGAAGGAAAGACATGACAAACTAGTTGTAGCAGAAGATGGAGAATGTGTAAACAAGTTTCACGTGCCTCTTCTTTTCTTCTTTTATTTCGCTCATTTTGCGACATTTAACAAAAGTCCATGGATGTCACAACAAAACACTTTTCGGTTAGTGAATAGAACTCTATTAAGTTTGTTAAGCATCTGTTACACAAAAGAATTATTTACATTAAGCCACCGAAACAGAAAGATATAATGCATATATCCTAAAAATTAAGGAAGAGGCTTGTGGGAGTAAACATCAACTTGTGCAATATCTTAACTCACGAGGGCGTTCTCGTGAGTGCGGATCGGGTAATGAAACTGTCGGAGTTATAAACAGTTTGCTACTTCCTAAAATTTATCTCATGGCAAGGACACAAATTCAATGAGCTTAGGAGACTCTTTCCTTACATGATTCTTTTAGTCTATTCAAACAGGAGTTCACAACTCTCTTCACAAAAATATAATATTATCGGCTGATATTTTGTGCAACACTGAGAAAGCTAAAATTTGAAAGGAACTGAATCGTGAAGAGTTTTTGAAGTTTCTCATCGCTTCATCCAAATTGACAAGATATGTTCTATGTGACAGTATACATAAGTTGCTTCATCGTGTCTGACTCGGATGTGAGTTTAAGTGAGTTTGAACTATTTTTCAACAAACTCCAAAGCACAAGCACACAAATGAAATCGTTTCCTTGAAAAACTTATTTTCTTGTTGATGTATGAATTTTAATTTCGTTGAAATTCAAGCGAAGCAAGAGTAAATTGGATCAGGGTCGCTTGATTTATTCAATTCACATTATCATGAAATTGAACTGCACTTTGCTGCAACACTTTTAATCTTGTAAGAGATTAACTATTGATCCAATCTCTAGTTTCACAACATAATAACTTATTGAAAGAAAAGTTTTTCAATTTGATAAGTAAGAAATAATAAATCGTCACGTAACCCTTGAATATTCGTAAAAGTAGAAGGGAATCTGATATTGTCCTATGGATGGCTGCATGCTGATCATATTTTTTTAATTATGTACATTGTGGTGACATAGAAAGCTAATTTTTCCTTTCTCCGATCCTTTTTTGTTGGTGGTGTCGTATTTCATGCAACTGGTTTGGTATATGACGAAACTATTCATTGGAATGAACTTTTGGTAATAAACGAACATGTGAGTAGAATATGTCTCAATTTGAACGGATAGGATTTATTGTGTGACTTTTATTAAGTTAAACATACGTTGCGAGGCGTTTTTCATTGTTGATTCTGTTTTCCTATTGTTCTGGGCTGCTCCTTTTAACCTTGTTTACAATAGACAATACAAGAAACAAGTTGCCCTCACATTCTACCTCCTCAATATGAAAAATACGCCATGAAGATTGTTGATTCCATTTTACAAATTGTGTTTTATGCGAACAACACTAATGAAATGTGAACATAATTTGTTTAAGTGTGTGTTTATGTGTTTCAATAAAAGCACAAATAAAATGTGAGTAGATTAAAGTATGTTGTTAAAGGTGGAGTATTTTTGCTTCAAAACATTTCGTTTCTATAGGGCTTAAGAAATAATAAAATGGAAAGCAGTTCCTACCTAAGGAGGGAATTTTCATAAATTTTATGTCTCAAATTCAGATTTCAATTCTAAATAATGCAAATCATTTTTGAAACTTTTCAAAACTCCTCTCGTGGTGTCATTGTCACGATACGTAAATATTTTTCAAGCCTCCACATTGTTTAGATTTTCCCAAAATGAGTTTGGGAACTTCTACTTTTTCTTGAGAAAACTTTTCTTTTTTTTATTTTTGTGTATGATGAAACAATAATAAAAATGAGAGGAGGAAAAAGTGAAGAAAAAAACTTCTGGCATTGAACATTCTATTTAATAAACAATGATGACAAGCTTTTTGTTCGAGGAAGTAATGAAATTATTTTATGGAAAATAAAAACAAATACTTACTTGCACATCAGTCTGTTTCTATGACGACGCCCTTGATAGCATTATATACATGTAATCATTTATCATCAAAGCCAGTCTCATAACTCACGATCATATCACACGCACCGCCAACGAACGGTAAATCGTATTGCTGAGAAATAAAATATTCAAAGATTTTTTTTCACTCTCTTTACCCACCTTCACCCCCGCCTTTTTCTTATGCTTCCATTCGACATATTGAGAATCATCAATTTTTATTGCCGTCACATTTCGAAAATTTGCTTTTGCCTTTCTTCGAAGCGAGACTTTATTCCTTTAAGGCATTTATAGGAAGTAAAAGAAAAGTTTGTTAAAATTATCTCTAAAAGTTTCATTTCAGCCACCTGCAGCAAGACATTATATCTATTAGATATGGAGATATAAAATAACTTCTCGAAAAAAAAAACCATGAATGACAATAGAAATACAAAATAGCACGTCATAAGAGACAACAACGTATCCTCCATCAAAATCAAATCAGCAAACAACAAAAAAAAATTTGTGATTGCAAATATGCTGAAGGTGCGATACATATTTTCAAAACAAATGAAAATCTATTTCATCTTTTTGTTAAAATATGGAAACGAACACATTACGTAATTTTTTTGTTCTTTACTCTTGTTAGGTTGTACTTTCCACCAAAGTTTACTAAGCGTCAATCTACTTCTTATGAGAATGTTTAAAACAAATATTGAATCAATAGAATGATGCTTTGAAGAATACTCATTCTTCGAAAACAATAGGATCAAAAACTCGGATGAACAATAGCATCAAAAACATCGAAAATGGAAAATTTTTGATCCGATGTTTAGTTAGATTTTCAGACCTATTGACTGTGTTAAAAGTTGAAACCTTTCTCACATCCTTATAATACCAGAAAAGCTTCCTTTCAAATATTTGCTTTTACTTAGGAGAAAGAAGTTGGGAAGAGGTGAAACCTTTTTAAACATAAGATATGAAAGCTTAATCGAAATTTTATTCTATACTAGATACCAAGATAATCGTATTTTTCAGCATTTAATGGATAGTTTCATTCAATATTAGATTTATGTCAAGTCTGCTCGATAGCATGAAAAGACGAAAAGAGAGGAGAAAAAACAGCACCTCATATCATTCCCATTATACCACAAACAAATCAAATTGATTCTTCGCTTCCATCACGTCATGAGAGACGACCTTAACGAGTTTTACATGGCTTTTCATTTCAATATAACGATGCTGGTTAGACTGAAAAAATGTTACTAAACCTTTACGAACATAAAAAACCTTTTTTCGATTTTAAAATATATGTAAATAATTCGAATTCTCAATTTAATCCAATACGTATCAGTTTTTTTTGTAAATTTTTCTTATCTAAATCAGTTCCATTTTATCAACGTAAATTTTTCGCCAAATTAAAAAATACTTAATAAAATAATTAAATTTAAGCTGTAGGATAAGGCTGGTT